GACTAGAAGCCTGTTGCAGGAAGATTCCTGCAAGAATAGGGCTTTGCTCCCATCTCTTCCTCTCTTTCCCTGCCCGTCTCTGCCGCTGCTACCCCACCCGTCTCTGCCACTGCTTCCCCCCTTCTCTGCTGCTGCTACCCCGCCCATCTCTGTCACTGCTACCCCGCCTGTCTCTGCTGCTCCTACCCCACTCTTCTCTGCTGCTGCTACCCGGCCCATCTCTGCCGCTGCTACCCCACCCGTTTCTGCCGCTCCTACTCTGCACTTCTCTGCCACTGATACCTGGCCTCTCTCTGCCACTGCTACCCTGCTCATCTATGCCGCTGCTACCCCGCCCATCATTGCCGCTGCTACCCCGCCTGTCTCTACCACTTCTCTCCCGGCCATCTCTGCTACCTCGGCTCCACTGCTTGGCTTCCTTCTATGGTGTCTTCAGTCTTCGCTCCCAGCCAGAATATGCAAATTAGCCACCATCTTTGTTGGAGGTTAATTTGCATATCACACTGATTAGCCAATGGGAGGTATAGCGAAGGTACGGTCAATTACCATGTTTGTCTATTATTAGATAGGATGTCTCCATCACTCTTTGATGCATTTAACAGAATGGATTATATAGAGAAAAGGAAGCAGACATAAGCAGAGGAGGCAGAGCCTGAGACAGCACAAATGCATTACTCATTGCTATTCAAGGAATAAGTAGAAGGTCAACCACGGGGCCATAACCCCTTCAGGGTAGTATCTATCCGTCAAAGTGCACAGGCACCTGGGGGTTACCCTCACAGGCAATGACAACATGCCTAGAGCTGCCCCTGCCCTGATATCTGCAGTTTACCAGGAAACTTGCTGTAAGCCTGCAGCCTGTGACTCTTACTACACCCTCATGGCAGTTCTCCTTGCCATTCCTGCACTGGATATTGGGGGTCCTGCAGATGTTGTTAATGGCACCAATGTTTTCGTGGATGAAGGTGTTGAATTGCTTGCACCTAAGCCTAGTCATCCCCTGTCTTTGCATCATTGTGTTGCGGTATAAGCTGGTGCCACCTCTCTGTGTAGAGTCCACGTGTTGTTGCTGTAATGGTTGGTACATGAACTGGCCATAGGAGGGCTGTACGAACCCCAACCCCAGCAGGGTCAGCAACAACAGCAGAAGCAATGAAAGGGTTTCTGGAGAGCCATCACTACGTTGAAGGTGCATAGAGAGAAACCAAGAGGTAGGAGAAAGGAAGGTAACAAATGGGCACCAGAGAGAGGTGTTGAGAATGGCAAGCTGATATTTGTCAACTCTACAGTCTACTCTTTCCTCCCCACTTCTCTGCTCACAACTTTTCTCATCACTGCTTCCCCAAGAGTAAAAAGTTTGCAAACATGATCTTCTCTGAAAGCAAGAGCTTTTCTCTTTTATAGAGAGACGATGCTGTAGCTGGGGTACAATGGTTCAAGGTAGAGACTGAACAGGTGGAAGGCCAGGTGTATGTGTCCTGTATGGCCAGGGTGTGAAAAGGGAGAAAAGGCAGATCTAAATGACACTGGAGTTGTCTGTCTCTTGAGGAAATTCTCTCGTCATGTGATCTTTGGAGAGTGTTTGGTTCCCTGGAGACTCTGATTCCCAAAGGTTTGGATAGACAGGAAATCCAATGAGAGTCTGTGAACTGATTTTAATTCCTGACATCTGGGAATTGAGGAAGGTGTTGGAAAAAAAGGATAGAGTAACGTTTAGGGTGAGCTTTTCCTTTCATGTGTCTATTCTTTTTTAAATTAAAAAATTTCAATTACGTTTGACATTTATTAGTTTCAGGTATACTAAAAAGTGATTTATATACCTTAAGAAGTGATCACCACATAAGTCTAGCACCCATCTGACACCGTACATCGTTATTACAATACTATTGACTGTATTTTTTGTATGCTGACTTGGCATCTCCATGGCTATTTTTAAAACTGGCCATTTGTACTTCTTAGTTCCTTCACCTTTTTCAACCAGTTGGCATTCTTTTAATGGTATGAAAATCAAGTCTTTTTGAAAATCTTGCTAATCCTATTTTTTAAAAAAAGAGTATGCAATCAAAGTGCTCTGAAGATAGTATATATTGGTTCAGTGAACTAATAAACCAAAGGAGGGAACTAGTGGGCAAATGAAACAAAATGGCTTGTAGAACTGACTGATAAAGGAAATTTTTAAAATAAATCTCAACAGCACAATCGCCACAAAAGAGGACTTATACTGCCTTTTTTCCTTGCTGTTTCTATGCACAACCAAAAACTAGGCCTTGGTAATATATTCCATCATCATGAATGTATCCTTGATGCTGTCTGTCTTATCAATAGCTGTTGCTAGTTTTTCTGTTGTCTCTAGTTGCAGAATCATTTTGTTGGCACTTTTAGCAGTGGAAAACAAACATAAGTTAATAGAGATTAAAAACAACACAAACACTAAACAAAAACCTTCAGAGCCACAACAAAGAAAGCATTGCCATATAGTGTCAGATCATTGCTTCTGTTGACTGAAGAAAGGAAGGAACCCAGACCTATCTGACTCTAAAATCAGTGCTTTTTCCACATTTTCTACTCCCTCTCTCTTTCCACTGTCCAAATATTCAGGATATTCAAGACATTTATGTTCAGAGTTGCTTCTCTCTGGCAATGGAGTTTAATCAGGGGTGGAATAGGGTAGGAGTGGAAGTGGGAATTGCTCACCAACACCAACTAGCTAGATGCTGCCATCTGACGGTCTCTCCTGGGATTGGCATGAACTCATGAACTGTGAATCTCCTTAACCATGGCAATGAGGCAGGGCTGACTCACTAGAGCAGCAATTTTCAACCTTTTTCATCTCAGGGCACACATAAACTAATTATTAAATTCTGAAGCACACCAAAAATATATTATTTGACAATCTAACCAAATAAATAGGTATAATTTTGATTCATTCACACCAGGCAGCTATTGTGTTGGCTGTCATTTTTTAATTTGACAATCTAAGGGGAAATTAGTCAGTGCTCCTGACTAAATAGTCAGGTATTGCACGTTTTAAAAATTCTTGAGGCATACCAATAATGAAAATTCCAGTTGAAAAACGCTGGACTAGAGCAAATAAAACTAATCTCTGACTCAATAGGAACTGAACAACCCAAAACAGAAAGGACAGTTTTTTGAGGGTCATACAGGCCCATTTGTACATATGCAGTCCAAACCTGGTCTTAGCAGAAGTCCTGGTTTGCTGTATATGGGTACTACTGTCCTTTGTTTTCAAATAAGCTTCATGATGGCAGGTCACACTGTCTGGGTGACTGAAATGGCTGATGAGGAACCTGCATACCAGTTTCAAACATAACTTCATTCTTTAAAATGCTATCTCCTATAGTCACAGCCACCTTTTGCTTGTATACAAAAAGATAGAAAGCTCTAGGTCCCATTTCAGTGCCTACAGCTATAGATATGAGATATGGACTTAGGAAGAGAGAGAAGGGAACAGTTGTGGGAAGAAGAGTAACAGGGAGACATGATGCTTGATTAACTCC